CGCCATTGTAGATAATTTGAAGTACAAAACTGAAAAATTAGAGAAACATGTTGTCAGATATTCAGCAAAATAATCATATACCTAGCTTTAAACTAGATGTCTACACTAGATATAATGAGCTTACTTTTTTGAAATGCGAGTGTATGAATTCTGTCTGTTAAGGATTTCTGATAAAGCTATAGAAACATATTGGATATTTGTATATCATGTGGAAAAAACGAAATCACGCCAAAACGTAATATATTTCCTAAAAGAAAGGACGATATATCTTCATGCATAAGAAAAAGATATGCTGCCCCATATATTCCTAGAGATACACACGTCCTTGGTATGACGACAAACTACATCCAGGATTAATTGCAGTTGTTCTTGGTTCAGCCTGACCCGGGGTAGTAGAACCTGTTCAGATTATAGTAAAGTAAAATAGTTAATCGCCAAACTGGGGTCAAACAATATGAAATTTACAAACACATTTTTATACTGAAAATACCAGTACTGCACTTTCATAGTGTTGTAATGGAATAATCTGTCACTCCCATGAGTGACTACACTATAGATAGTAACTGCCTATAAGTATCTGTAAGTCAACGGAAATCTTTTGGGGCTAAACAGTCGAACTCTCTGCCTTCGGGCAGAGAGGAACCCGGACGAGGCTCCGTCGAAGTGGAGCGTCTCGTTCGGGGAGGTTGACTAACGCGATCCCGTTTATGCGGGTTCTACGGGGACTTTTTGGGCCGAACTTAGGGGCTTGGAAGTTACACATAAATTCGGCCCTTGTGCCACATCTACCCTCGTGGGGCGGGGTCTAGTAAATACAGACTAGCTGGTCTCTGTTCCAACTGTGCTGGTCAAACTCTCTGCTTCCGAGCAGAGAGGATCTCCAGACAAGGCTATGCAGAAGGACAGAGTCTGGTCTCGGGAAACAGCTACACGACCCCGTTTGATATGGGGTCAACGGGAATATTTGACTGAGCCTACGGGCTCGGTTGCCCCACATTAAACCACATTAAGCCACATCTGATCGCTTGTGAAAGTTTGTAAATATACTTTTTGGGCTCTGTTGGGTAAGACTCAGACTTATGCGAGAACTACCGACCTTCCAATAGTAGCACTCACTACTGGATTGACTTGCGACAACCTTGTGCATAACTGTTACCTTTATTTTTATTGTACTGGGTTTTTACAATAAACCTTTACTTATTTTACCCACTTTGTTTTTCAAGTATATATTACTATTAGCACGGAATATAACCGATAGCAAATCAAAATTACCAGCAATAAATGATTGAAAAAAGTAATTATAAACAATACATATTTGTAATCTACTCGAAAGAGCTATTTTCACTTGTCACCTGATTTATGCGTGCTACTCGGCTGGCATCTTGGACCCACTCTTTTACTGTCGAAACAGGTAAATATAACCGCCTCTTCTACTCCAACAGCTTCTTCAATAGCACTTCCCGGCAGTGGAACTCCCTTCCTCTTACTTGCTACCCCTTACGTTGATTTCTGTTCTTCTTTTTATCCTCCTCCGTTATTCATTTTATACTTTTCTCAACCTCCCCTAATATCCCCAGTCTTTTCCCTTATATACATTCTTTGTAGATCTTTGCTTGCTAGTGGCACTCTTGCCATGCTTTTGTTGAATCGCTTAAAAGAAAAGAAAGAAAATTACTAATGCTCCCAAGGAAATAATATTTGGGCAATAAATGACCCATAATGATTTAATATGCCGCTAAAAAACAAACCAGGAAATGCCCATGCCAAAATGGTAATATCTATATAACGCATTTCGCCCTCTAAAATTACTGTACACCATAGGATGAAATCCTTTTAGGCAACGTAAAGTGGTAAAAAGAAATGTTCCATTGTGTCAATCAATTGCCTATCATTTTTCTGACATCTATATATCATATTCTAAATAAGGTATCGATCAAAGAAAGAAAATAAATTGTTCATAAGCAGAACAAAAGAGAATGTGATCCACCTTCACAAGAGGTACGTCCTAAATATTTACACATAGAAGTGTCAGCTATCTCAGTGGTGCCTAGAACGCGAGGAATCTGTGACCTTCAGGGGAGATAATCTCCTATTAAAGGACGCCACCTACCAAGTAAAGTCAAATATGGCCGACCATTATGTAACTATCCGTGAAACAAATAACTTCTCATATTCAAATATAAATCGCTAATATTTAAATGTTGTCAAATCACGTAAATAATTATAGACTTAAATATGATGACAAATATATGGAAATCAAATGACATAACAGGAGCGGACATATTGTACAATCAAACTATATAAATCAATGACTGATATTGTTACATAATTATAACAAATTTCTAAATATATATAGTCGACTGGAGATCTCAAGTGCATGAAAATTGAGTAAAAACTAGGGTTGTTAAATTTGGACGCTGTGACGAGTTTTATTGCTTCCACATTATCTGGACCGTAATCACTTTCTTGATTCCATAGGATTTTTTTTATTTTAATACTTGTTTTTTTTATTTCCTTCTTCCGGCCATTTTTATCTTGATTATGATGTTAATTATTATGGTGAGTGTATGTATGTATTTACGCCCGGGTTTTACTTGGGACTACTATAGCCGGGACGCAACGAGAAAATCAAAAAAAAAAAAAAATAAACGT